TGGATGATGTAGGATTGTGTTGGCTGATGTGACTCTGCAATATTACATGGACATCGGGGGCAGTTTCCCTGGATTGGCAGACTGGGGTGGTGGTCCCCTTGTTCGCACACATACACTGTTCAAAAAGGGTGGGACCACAGGGTGTGCTTCAATTACAGAAAAATCACACTATTAAGTCTCCCTGGTAAGGTCTATTCAGGGATCCTGGAGAGGAGGGTCTGTTGGATAGTCGAACCTCATTATTCAGGAAGAGCAGAGTGGTTTTCGTCCTAGTCGTGGAACACTGGACCAGCTCTACATCCTCAGAGGGTGGTGGCCCAAGTGGCTGATGGAGAGGGAAATCTGGGCCTCCCTTCTTAGGTCTCGTCTAAGGGTTAAGTTTGTGTGACAAAATGCAGTAAGTCAACTAGCAAATAACTAGACTGAGTGTGTTTTGAATATTTAAGTGACTTAATACTTTCAAATGTTCTTGTGTGTGTGTGTGCATGTGTATAGCACAGCAGCTGCATCATGGCAGAGTTAGACGTCCCACAGATGAAGAGAGAAGTGGAAAGTCTTCAGTACCAACTGGCGGTTAACAGAGAAAAATCCTCCATTACTGTAACGGAGTGAGTGGAGCATGAACTGTCTCTCTCTTGTGCACGCACACACATTTGCATGGCTATCTTTGTGGGGACTTTCCATTGACTTCCATTCATTTCTACATCCTAAACCTTACCCTAATCCTAACCCTAATAACTAACCCTCTCCAAAACTCAATTCACACCTTAGTCCTAAAAACAGTGTTTCCCCTTGTGGGGACCAGGCTTCGGTCCCCACAAGGGGGGGTACCAAAGCCTGTGTCAGGAAAATGGTCCCCACAAGGTATTAAACAAACGAAGAAAACCACACACACACACACACACACACATACACACACACACACACACACACACACACACACACCCCTCTCTGCCATTCTGGAATGAACTTGAACTCGCTCATGGTGATGATGGTTTGTTTCTGCAGGCTGGTGAAGTGGATCGAAGGCTGTGTTTGTGAAGATCCATTTCTGAACCCTGAGCTGATGCGAGCCAACCCCTGGGTAGAAAAGGGCAAGTGTGTGATCCTGTAATGGTGACACACACAATCAAAGATGTATATAATCTGAAAAAAAAAAACAAAAAAAAAAAACATGCACTCTCACACCGCCTCGCTTCACTAATTCACTCCCAAACATCATTGCTTTCATTTCTGTTTATTTATTTGGAGATTTCTGGATGCTGTTTCTTGATGTGTCAGACTGAGTGTGCAACATGGAACATCTTTCCTTGGGTTTTGCAATGTTCTTTTTTTGTCTCTGCACTGTCAATCCAAATAAACACTATTTGAATTAACAAAACACGTTGATGTCGATCAATTTATGCAGGAGGAGTGCTACTGAAGCTCTCTGATGTAAACATTGCGTCTGACCGCATTAGACATGCCTTCGTTGAAACGGAACCACACATCACTGTTTCCCACGGCTGTTCCCATCGCAACAACAGCACACTTCTCACCTGCAGGGACAGGAAACATCTTTTAAACATCAACTCTAACATAGCAAACCCAGACTATCAAAAGAAATTCCAAAATGAGGCATTTAACCATAAAAATGATCTGAGTAAGGCAACAGACAGTCTGCTGAGGCCTAAAATGAATGCTGATCTCTTTCTGTCTTAGCATGTTAACACAAACCTGAATGCTGCAGAGCAACGATCTGTTAAAACTCCTGCTTTAATGGTCAGACTGGCTGATGAGCAGTTACTCAGGTCATTTATTTACAGTAAACCTAAATCGATAGTGATGACACACAATGCTTATATTAAAATAGGGGTATGATTTCTTTTGCTAGATTTTCTTTTTATATCGCTATATGTTGACTTTGTAAGCACAAAAACTTAAAAACAATAAATTGTCAAAATATAGAAATATCAGACATGTCAAACTGTGATAAAATAAAACTGAATGAAATGGAACCCAAACCAGACAGCTTTCCATTTAGTGGCATAGAAATAAACCAGGCAGATCACAGGTTTAATTCAAATACAGTAAGTTTAGCTCCAGTTTTATGAAAGTAAATATGTGTCACCAGGATTTGAATCAAGAAAATACCACTGAAATTTTAATGTTATATATTTGTACCTACTCTTTCGGAGTTAAAATATATTCAGAATACATTTTTAACCCCTTAACCCGTGCTGGAATGCCCACTTGCCGTTTTTCCATTGTATTTTTCGGGGGTGAGATTTAAGGGTTTAAACTCTGCCGGTGTCCATTATGACACTTTAACTGGGCAGCCTAGAGCCGCCCCCCACTTTTGAATGA